TGTGCGTGCGTCTGTGTTACAAGTAACATACGCATATATTTGTTTTAATCTTTTGTCTATTTGCCCTCATAAATGGTGCAGGCGGATAGACAGCAAATTCACTTCCGTTGCCTGTCCACAAAGTTGCCATTTCGTATCCTGCTTAAAGCATGAACGTTTTCAAATTCGCTGTGGTTGCATGCAAGGCAATGCCAAATCATCGTGTATTTCATGTAGTATGTATCTCATACTAATAGAAATTACCGTTCGTAATTTTAAAATTTCCCAGGAACACCAAATGTTATTACTAGCGACTTGCAGTAGCAGTAATACGGCTGAAGAAAACAAAACCGAACAAAATGTTTTTCCAAAAAGTAGTACGTTCCTTTCTAAAGAAAACTAATGAAATTCTTGTGCAATACTTTGTATAAAAACAATCGTCTCTGTAAAAACAATGTAGTATTCACACATTACAACAGGCTTAGGTAGGTAAGGACATCAACTGATGTCACTGCAGTTCCTCAGTCCTGACGATGGCAGCATATTCGCCATTAGCTAGATAGCTAGGCCGTATTCAGCCGCTACCCGGAGGAGAATTCTAGCGGCCGGCTGCTCTTATCGGTCTTTCTCCGAGCAAAACCAGCCAAATGGCGGACCATTGCCCTGATAAACGAGCCACGAAACGCGTGCGATTTTTCCTCCTTCCTCTTTGCCGTCTTCTCACTTATTACGTGCACACACACTTATGTGCAGTACATCGTCATGTCAGGAGACCAGTCGGGAGCTTAGAGCTTGTCCCGGCTGGAGGGGTGCCCCGCAGGGTGGGAAAGAGCTGGTTGGGGCGTCATCCGCAAGCCGACGCGTAGGTTGGCTCACACCACGGCTCCCCCGGACCTCACCCTTCAGGAGGAAGATCACTGCCACCTCCCGCAATAAAAACGAGCACTACACGTACGAGATTAATGACCAAATCAGTTGGCGCGCCTGGAAACGCGAAATAATCAAGCAGCACGTGAATGGGTGGGAGGAGGAGCTGCGGAACCCCGGCCTGGCCTGGCCTGGCCTGGCCTGGCCTGGCCGCCGTGTGAGGTGTTGTTGCGTGGGCTTCGCGCCGCCCAGGTGGCGAGGGGTCCTTCGACGGTGCATCGATTTCCGATGGCACCTTTAAGAAGCGAGCCGGCCCGCTTCCTACGTACCTTTCGCCCGCCCCGGCACCCCTTTACCCACACACGCCCCCGCAAGGTTTTCCCTGCACCCTCTACTCCTCCATCTCCTCTTCCCCCCTCACTCCGCACTGCGTACATCCCGCACCGGGCATGTCTCGGAAATGGTGGAGAGAAAACCGGCGAATGTATTTTACTTCGGTAACGAGTGGTTCAGTTGGTAGTCTTCGGCGAGGATTTTGATGCGACGGACGTAGTCATCCTGGCACATTGCGAACGTTGTTGTGATGATAATGATATTGATATGAGAGATACGTGATAAGTAATGATCTTGAAAATGAAGTGGGCGGTTGAATGAGAGGTAGGGAAACTGGAGAACTTCGAAGGGAGGAGGAGTGTCTTCTCGCTCCCCAAGCAACGAAAACTGTTACTTCAGGCTTTCTCATCTCATATCCCTCTCTGAACCTCCCTGCTCCATGGCATTGCCAGTCTTTCCTCGTGTCGTCGCAGGGGGCGTATCGTAGTAGTCCTTAATGTCCTTGGGCCGATGAACAGCGTAACGGCCTACAAGCGCCAACCGATTCTGTTTGTTTGTGTCATCGGCCGTGTATCCTTTAATTCTTTCGTAACGCCATCTTAAAGAAAAGGATATGAACAAAAAATACCATTTCTTGGAATAAGTGTACTTATACTCAATCTTTAGCCGCAACCGATTGTTCTTAACGGTTGACGGTATGTTAAATCTTTAACGGACGTTGGGGCTTTAAGTGTGGCTCTTCGTTCCTCTGTTTGCGCTAAGATGACTGTATCAGGAAAAAACTTTGTCGTCCGTACGAGCGAAATATTAAAAATTGCCATTCCACAGTTCGCGCGTCGCAATTGACTGATATCGTTACGCGCAGGATCATTACGCCCTTATCTAATACTTACACGTGCGGTTTTGCAGAATAAGTACTCGTCGCAGAATATCGCGAAGGGGCCATGTCCTTTATGCTTGGTTTCCAACGAGTTTTCCCCGTTGGAGCCATAACCACACCATAACCACGATTTTCTAGAGTTATTACAGAAAATATAATTTTCCACTTTTTTTGGAATAGCTTATAAATGTTGGTAGAAAGTGCAGTTAGATTGTATTACACGTTGACCAAGTGAAGCTTCTTCACTTCGTGGTTTCGTCTTTTATTACGTCAACATTCTCTGATTTTGACTCTGAATTTAGTTAGTAACGATAAGGCGTTAATTTACTCTTGCCTTTTTTTAAACTTTGGAGTGGCCTAATCGCATATCTTCAAAAGTGTGTGCGTCGCAGAAGTACCAGTGTCGGGTAAAATTGGAATGGCGAGAATGGGTTTTCATCGTAACAAAAAATATACAGATCTAAAGAAGTTAAAATGTATCTAGAACGAAGTAAAAAGTTTAGGGCGAGACCATTGATACTATTGATCAGTTAACTTGTAATAGTGAATCATGAAATATCTTGTAATAGAGAAAACGAGGATCCTGTAACATCACTCGTGGCAACTACTTACGACACAATGTGTTAGTTATT